ATATATATATAATTATTATCTTGTCCTAATCTGTGAGAATTGTAATTTAACTATTTTATGTTGCTATCAACACAATTTAGATGATTTAGGAGGCAGGTTGCGCTTCCATCCTGCCTGTTAATTAAGGTCGACTCAAATTGAATGGATGACATTTCCAAACACAAGGACAGATGCTGACAAAATGAGTTACTTGTCGGATTTTAGTTCTAAGGAAGTTAATACATCAACTTTATAAGTGAAGTTTGTACAAACAGTTTGTAAGTATGGAACGATAAAAGACACGGTAGACTTGATCAAAATGGCATCGATTAAAAATCTGTAAATCTGACCCCAGTGTCGATTGTTGGCTAATATCTCCGTTCTTGGATTGCAAGAAGTAACTCATTTTATCAGGACGCCTCACATATTCGATCAAAGATTGAACCATTCGAAAATCAAACTCACGTCTTCAGCTGGTGACCTCGAAGAGTCTCACTACTACAACAAAGATATTGACCTCCTAAATACTGGTTTTGGCGAAATATCGCCGTTACTGCCTATACTAAACAACAAACCAACCCGTGTCATCATGGTTACTCCTGTGCTTTCAATATTTCTAGAGCGCATAGAGCTGTCAACGTGGTTTTATGCACCCTGCATAATTTAGCAAAATTTGATCATTTTTTGCATTATTTCTGGTTTTTCCTTGGTCATTCTTTGTTAAAATTAACAGAATCGTATAATTTTTTGGGCTCAGTTTGCATAATTTCAGCATTTTTTGTGTGCATAAAACCGCGGGGACAGATATAGTCTGCTGTAACGTAGAGCGTGAAAAAATGGTGAAATGGTATAGGTTTAACGCCCCTATCAACACTATTAGGTTATTTAAGGGGCGGGACCTCTTAGTTTAACGTCCGTCTCCGATAGGACCTAGCCAAGTGGGAAGTTCGTGTAAAGTGCCTTTCCCAAGGACACAACGTCGGACCGAGCTGAGGCTCGAACCCCCGAACTCGCAATCTCACGACCGACGCCACTACGTAGAGCGTGAATATGCGCTAAATATTATCATTATTATTTTACTACTACTACTACTACTACTACTACTACTACTACTACTACTACTACTACTACTACTACTACTACTAC